CTATGCTGTGTGATGATTTCAGCAAGTAAAATGATGCATTTGGCTGCTAACGATAACTGGCCTGCACACTAAACCCTGTGGTTCCACAGTTCATATAGAGCCAACTGGACCCGGTCAGACAGAAAGGATCTGAACCGGCGTTATAGAGAACATTTCAATCAGTTTTGCTGCAGTTTTTATACCGTTGTGCCAGAGGTCTAGCCAGAATATTTTAATAAGGGTGTCCATGCAATAACCAATGTTCACTGAGGGGTGGCAGAATCAATCTACACTGTTCCAACATGAAAATGAACGAGCAAAACATCCATGTTTTTTGAATAAAGAACAACTTTCCTTCAGCCTTTGCTAACAAACAGACGCATGTATTTAAACATCCATTTTGTCTACATTAAAGTGGACAAAATTCTTTTAGGTTTTAGTTTTGGGGGAAATATCTTATTCATTGTCATTACTTACCTTTTTTATCAATAACCATTCTGCATAAAATTAATATTTACCTGTACTAATATCTACATTAAATGGATTATTTATTATTAAAGTAGTTATTTATCTCTGATTTCACTGAAGACTCAGAGATGACTTGCAGAGACGTAATTTTCTCTTTACCCCACATTAGACAAAATCTAGTTCTGAAAAGAGCAGGAATTCTGTGTTTATCATCTTTATTGTTAGTATATTGATGAGCATAATTAACCACAGAGGTTTTGTTGTCAAGTCATTGTTAATATATGAAGAATTAAAATGTTAAATAAGTTACAACATTTCACTTAAGAGTATTTCTGCTGCCACCATCTGTATTAGAGGGAAAAAACAGTAGGGGTGGCCAATGATTGGCAGGGCGGGCCATGGCCACCCCTGGCCCCCCATCTAGCTCCGCCCCTGAGTTGTGCCACTAAGGTCTTAACAGAATCATGTTCTGCAGCTATATTTTTTGGTTTATGAATATTTATTAATTAAATTAAAAATCCATATTTTGTTATCTAATAAAAATAAATCCTCGACAAACATATTTTAGATAATTGTGATCAAGCCTACCAGCTTTTATGGTTTTAATTGACAATTTGGATTATCAGTGAAAAAAATTTACTCAATTAACCAAATGTGGATTTTCAGCCAGCTGGGAACATGGGTTTTATTTCACCACAGTGAAATGTTAACAATTCTGATTTATAACTCCAGTTATTAATCATTATTCATTAACTTCAAACTCTAAATTCAGAAGAATGATTCTAGCCTGAAGAGACAGCGGATCGCTTATATAAAAGCACCACAGAGACATCCACTTTATCTGTGCTGGAATGGATTAAATCCACTAATTCACTGAAACAAGTTCTGAAAGTATTCTGTTTATTACTACAAAACAACAATTACCAAAGAAGAAACTACTGCAAAGAAAGAAATGGATCTTAGCCAATTAATCAAGCTTAAACTTAATAACTCTACTCTTGTTTTCCCAGGATTCTACATTCTTTTAAAAGGTTTATTTTTTCTGTAAATATACAAAAAAAGCATTCTTTAACTTTAACAAGTGCATTTCTTAGCACCACCACTGACTATTTGTCCAAACCATCTAGGTTTTCATTTGTGTATTTGACCCTATTGTGCAGTTTCAGATACATTTCTATGATTGTTTAGAATTATGTGATAAAATGCTCCTACCAGATGCAGCAACTTCAGGATATTCTAATAAGGCCCAAAAAAGCTGACACAGGAAGTAAGAGTGGAAAGACATAAAACATAGGAACAGGAAGTGACTGTGAATGTGGGGAGCAGAACAGGCATGAGAACATTTAGTGATGTTGATCTGGAGGATCTGGATTTTAGATTAATCTTGAGGGTGCTATACAGCGCTAAAGCTAGCAGGGTTGTCATAGTCAGTCCAGGGGTCATGCACATAGAGACAGTCCACGGGGCAGAAGGGCTAGACGAGAGGGGAATCTCAAATCTAGATCTGGTAACAGGAGGCACACTAAGCAGTCAGAGGTTTCCAGAGGCAGGAGGCAAAGCTGAGGTCCAGGCTTGGATCCTACGTGATTGACAGAACAATTCATAAGAGAGCAGAGGCAAACAGACTCGATTGAGAGGCAAGGCAGGTCAATCTCAAAACTAGGGATGCTGGATGATGTATTAACAGGAATGGCTTTCAATAATCTGGCGACTGCCTACTGGGAAAGACAGGAATAAATAGTTCCTTCCCGGTGCAGCAACTTTAGGATATTCAATTCAATTCAGTTCAATTCAGTTTATCTATATAGCATTAATTCACAACACATGTCATCTCAAGGCACTTTACTGTTCAACCAGATCATACAGTCATATATATATATATATATAGGAGGATATAGGAGCTGCCTCAGGTGTGCTGCTCACCTGATTATCAGTGCAGCAGAGGAAGAAGGAAGTGACGCTGTGAGACTGAAAACTTCAGCTTCTCAGGCAGAAAAACAGGAATCATTACAGATGAGCTTCCTATGAGTGGTCAGTGGAACTGGAGAAGAACTCTATAAATTAGTCCATCTACTGTTTGCTGTATTTCGGTCACATTGCTGCTTATAAAGCTGAATTCTTTTCTAATGCTGCAAGAATCTTTGACCTCCAGGTGGTCCCTATCGTTACCCTGTTTTAAATGTAATACTTATTGAATATTTCTTTCTCCTTTTAATTGTACTATTTTGACCCATTTGGCCTTCTGTATGGCTTTCCCTCACTATGCATTGCTGCAGTTGATTAGCTGGACCTTTAAAGTCCTTCTCACTCCTGATTCACATCCAGCACGCTAGTCTTAGTTTCATCGCTTTAATTCTACCTTTGATTACTCATGCCCTGCTGTTAATTTCAGCAAAAAGCTAAAAAAAAACATATGTAAGCATCTACTTCTGGATTACAGTGAGGGTCACATGTGACTAATACGTTCCCAAAATGGTCAGTATGAAAGTTAGTTTTGTTTCAATTAAGCTGATTTTTCATTCTGGCCTCTTGGTATTTAAAAAAATAATCAGTTTCATCCAGACAATTAATTTCTTTGTGGTTGGACTCAGTGCTGCCCCAACTTGTTGCTCACCACAAACCAAAATAAATAGTTTTTAAGATGATGCAAAGTTAAATGTGACGCTGTTAGCATTAATTATAAAACTAAGAAAATTAAGTCTAAGGAAGTTATCATCCAGAATAGTAGAAAAATGTTCCTTTAATAGGGTAGAGCAGTAAAGCTTCTGTTCTTAATTTTTCCTGCATTACTTTTACTTTTATATTTTAAGTAGTTTTTAAAATGGTACTTTTACACTTTTACTGAAGTAAAAGGCTGAAGTTGATCCGCTAACTTCTAAAAAGTGTTTTTAAACAGCAGGATTTAAACTTATACTGCAGTAATAAACATGAATTATTTAGACAGCTCTGTTAACATAATAACATAATAAAGGATGTTTTATTTAGATATTTTACATGTCTAAAAAAAAAAAAAACAGACCAGGGAAGAAGGACAATTACGAGCACATATACCTAAAGACTTTAAACCTATAGCCCTGCAAACATATTCAACTTATATTACAAAATGAATGTAAAGCATAAAGAATGATATATGTGCTTTAAACTGTCTTCTTTTAATGAATGCTTGCCCATTAGCTTTGTTTCTGCTTGTTATATAACTGATCTTCAACACTTTATAATCATCAAAACTGGCCAGTATGAAATCAAACCAGTTGTGGAACCAATTCACACTTCATCTCAGGTGATTTTCCAGAGACAATTCAACACGATCATCCAGTCAGGTTAAAGGTTTCTATCTGAGGATAACCTGCTGATTGCATCCATTCATCGACTTTGCTGGATTCTCTCCTCCTGGATGAGCAGGTAGAGACAGTAGATATTGGCTCTGCAGCAATCCCTCACACCAAGCATGCATGCAGCAACAGTGGAGAGGAAAACAGTCCTTTTTTCCCAGGAGGGAACCTCTAGCAGAGCCAGAAACAAAACCATGCTCAGTGTGAGCAGCCATCTGCCCATGACACACTGAGGTTTGTCCACCCTTCCACTCTGAGGTCCAATAGTGACAGCTTTGGTCTTCCTCTGCAAATGTTCCACAATCTCCTGAAAATGTACAGATTGAACTGACACGCGTTGTGACAAACCGAAAGGCGTTTAATTGAACTGGATGAACTGGCCTATCAGCACAAGTGTAACTTTCTGAAGGACTGGTGGGGACAGCGCCCACCAATAATTTCCTCTCTGTTTTCCTCTTTCCGCTTATTTATTTTAGCCAAATGTATCTGAGTTGGGTGCGGCTAACTGTGTTCAGAGTGTTTTAAGTCCATGTTTTTTTTCCTCTCTCCCGATGGTAACATCGTCGGATCTGTTGCTTTGAGACATCTGATTTGTTGCATTTCACTGACGTACAGAGTCGCTACATGGTTGGAGGAGAGACACACGGCAGCACCATCCTTAGAGCGCCCCCACCATCTTTCATCACAAAGTTACACGCTTGCCTATCAGGCCCATTAGGATCCGGACCATTTATCTGGAGTGATAAGAAGAAGAACATGCATGGCTCTGGCAACATCTAAAGCATGGACCCAGTGACATCCTCATCATCATCATGGTTAAACTACAAAAACATTTTTTCTAAAGCAAAAGGCAAATAAAAAGATAAGAATAACTTGCACCCTTTTTGTTGAATGCAGAGTATAGAATGTGGGCAGGAATGAGTGGTGAGGTAATCTGCTGGCTGAAAGGACCCACTGTGCTCTGTGTGCCAGTGGGAGCAGAGCAGCAGGCCCACAGCATCGTCTGTAGGCACGGCCCAAACAAAAACACTAAAACGTTTTCTCCCAGTTCTATTGTTCCTCCTCCAGGCTGCAGACGCTGGCTGCTCTGCACAATGCTGTGAGAAGCTTTACCTCAGAGACAACCTTTGGGTTGTTTGCACTGAAATACTTTTATACGGTTGTTTTTTTTTTTTTTTTCAATCTTACCACGGCTGAAAGTTTGTGTGTTTTGCGTTGCAGCGTGTGGGACGCTCTAACTGACAACTACATCTCCAGCTGGGACGGCCCAAACTCAGAGGGGCTGAACGGAAACCTCTCTGACCACGAGGTACCTGCCTTTTCTCTTCACTTTATATCTATGTCACTGCTGGAAGGGATTCCTATCAGATCTCTACTCGTGTTTATTTTTTCTAACTTCTTTGGGATGTACTTAGCCGTAAATGTACATAAATATGAGAAAGGTTGTGGGAAACCCAGAGCAGCATTTTAACAACCAGAGGCATCAGGTTACAAAGTAAAGTACAAACTTTTTACTTCTACTCCTTACATTTCAAAAATAGACTCGTTAGTTTAGTTTTATTTAAGCTCATTTTCATTATGGCCTGAAACGTTTTGTTCACCACAAACCAAAATAAATAGTTTCCAAGATGATGCAAAGTTAACTTTCACAACTTTTACCATTAGTTATAAAATCAAGAAATGAAGCATAAGGAAGTTATCATCCAGAATTATAGAAAAATGTTCCTTTAATCGGGTAGAGCAGTAAAGCTTCTGGCCTTTATATTTTTTCCTGCATTACTTTTACTTTAATACTTTTATGTAGTTTTAAAAATGGTACTTTTACACTTTTACTGCAATAAAAATCTTGTTGATCCTCTAACTTCTACAAAAGTGTTATTAAACAGCAGGATTTATAGTTCTACTTAATAAATATTAATACTTTGGACCCGTCTGTTAATATCCCACATAATGTGGAGATGCAAACCAAAAATTAAGGGTGTTTTAATAGATAATTTCATACAATTTATTCATTTGTGCAGGTTTCTTTACGATAAGAAAGCTGCGTATTATAAACCTGAAATAAGATAATTGAATCAAATGTTCCTTTTTTTAAGTAAATCATCTTATTCAATTTGAAAATTATAATTCTGTCTTTAATAAATGGAAAATAAACTTATTTCAAAAGTAGTTGATTTAGTTATATTTCATTTTTTACAGCGATCTTCCAGTAAAATCAACATTTTGCCCCCAAAAAGATAATTATATAAACTGGACTTTAATAACACAATGGAGGGTAAATAACATAACTGTCAGATTATTTTACTAACCTTCTTAAATCATATGCAAACACACTTATTTAAAGGAAAAATATTTCTTAATTTGTTCCCTTTTTACAGTGTGTCCATTTAACTGTTACTGGACGCGCAGTGAGAATGCATTAATCGTTTCCAGAGGTCATTAAATCTGTTTTCTGGCTTCATTTGAATCCAGCATCAGTGAATGAATGGAAGTCAGAACTGATTCTGTTTGGAAACCAACATGGCGGAGCATTTTCCCAACCTGGAACACAATCCTTGGATTAGTGGTTCTGTATTAATCCTGACGTTCTACAGAAATGTGGAAAAGCCTTTAATCGTTGGAGCATTTTTCTCCTGATCTTCAGATCCATGAAAAAGAGGAGGAGGAAATGAATGAGAAGAACGAGAACGCCAACTGCTTGAATGAGGAGCCTCTGATTACTGCAGATCAGGTCAGGGATGCATTTCTTTCTTTCTGATTTAAATTTTTTTTGGTTTATTTACTTGTTGTTTGCATAACTAATGAGGAGAAAACATGTATGCAGTTTTTCTCCAAAGCATGAAAATGATTTCTGAGGTTAGACTGATCCAAATGCTGTGACTTCATTAGACGTGTCCATTTGCAGCAGAGCTGGGCAGACCAGAACATTTGGATTCATGGTGAGCTTTTCATTCAGAGGGAGCTGCTGAGTCAGGTCCAGGTTCAGCACTTAGCAAAGCGCCCATTTCTCCTCGTGCACACTCTGTTTAAAATGTGCTGTTCTCATCATTCCACAGCGGGGAATATATAGTGAACTTTATGGTGAACTCAGTTAACTGACCGTTCAGACAGATGATCACTGCTTTTTGCTCCATTGGTCACGTAAATCCTCCTCTACCGCGCAGTGCCTGCGCCATCTTTGTTATTAAACAACGCTGTCGCTACCCGACAGCGGGTCGCTGTGACGGCAAATCCTATAATGCTTTGTGTGCAAAGCATTCTGGGATATATCTGCCTCTTCTGAGGCTATTCTTTTCTTCTTATCCACTTCGTAGACTCTTTTCACTTCCGACCCTCGGCTTTTTAAAGAACCGCGGTGAGAAAGGTGAGCTCACCACAGATATACGTCTGAAAGAAAAAGATAGCTAACGGGACAAGCACGTAAGACGACCTATGTAAACACATCACCAGAATGATTGACAGTTAGGAGGACCAATGATTTAGATGATCCACCTGGAAATAAGATCTTCCTCTATACCTGTACATTAAGTGTATTTACCCTTAATTTGAGCAGGTTTGATGATCTGCCAATGGAATTAATATTTTTACCCTTAAAATAAGATAAATAGATATGCACTTGAAATGAGACAATACAATTATTTATTCACATTTTAAATGTAAATTGTCTTGTTCCAGTGTCTCACTTTCCTCCTCAAATCAAGAAAAATTTGTTTAGATTAGTTATTTAGATGTAGATGTTTTGCAGTGCTCTGGCTGCAGAGTGCTCAGCATCAGACATCCCAATTAAAAGCAGGCAGGGTGGAGCGTCAGGCTGCTCAGTAAGCTGTCCATCCATCTAACACCGCAGCGTTCTTCCTGGCTGCAGTCCATTAATAATGGACAACATTCATGCATACAGAGGAGACGTTTGGCTCCTAAATGGAAACCATAAAGCCGTGTGCACTTAACCGTGTCCAAATCTCCTTCCTCACCCGTCTCCCCCCCCCCACCTTCTTCTTTCCGTCTCTCAGGTAATCGAGGAAATCGTTGAGATGATGGAGAACTCTCCAGATCCTGGTGAAACGGAGGAGGAGGATGAGGAGGAGAGCAGCCTCTGCTCCTCCAGGACCAACCCCTCCCTGCTGGAGGAGATCAGGCAGCTGTCTCTGGCCTCCAACAGCAACTGCTCCTATGAAGGTAGAGTAGAAACTGATCCAGGATCCTGATGGTGGAGAGATTTCTCTTTTAGGTCAAAGCTTTAATGTATAAATCAGGTAATTTAAATAATCACTGATTTATTATCAATTTAACAAAAAGGAAAAGTCTGTAAAAAGCTTCAAATCTCTTGTTTTACTAAAGCTGTAGATTATCTACATGAACCGAACTGTCAGCTGCTCTAATAAGCTAATTTATTGTTTTTATGACGAATGAATTAACTTTCCAAAACTATTTCTATTAAAATCCTTCAAGGCCGAATCATTCTCTGTTCTGGAACATTTCAGAGTTTCAGAAGAATCAATAAACTTTTATTATCACTAAAAAATGTGTAAACTGTGTGTAAATTATGAGAACATTCAGAGCAGCTGCCAAAAATAATCTGAAATCTTCCAAAAAAGTTAAAATCAATCCACTGGACTTTTTTTCCAAGTTTGAAGACGTTTCTCTTCCATCCAGGAAGCTTTTTCAATTCAAAATGTCAGAAATAGCGTTGAGTTCCAGGTTTTATCCAGCAGCCCAACAAAGCCTGGTTTTTGTTCAGAAAACATGCAAATAGAAACGGATGAACGGGTCCCCCCCTTTAGAATGGGGGTCGTTTGGCTTCCTTGTTTGCCTGCAATGCCCCATACCTGTCTATGTCTCTGAAAGGGGGTCGTTAGAGGGAATTACTGGCCTCACTGAATAGGCGAGGTCTTTTTTTCCCCCTGTAAAGGGGTTGAGGTTGCAATGATAGCACTATCATTCGTTCATCCGTTTCAATTTCTGACATTTTGAATTGAAAAAGCTTCCTGGATGGGAAGAGAAACATCTTCAAACTTGGAAACAAAGTTTAGTGGATTGCTTAACATCTCACAAAATTAGCATATCATGATATCATGAAAAAGGTCTCTAAAGGAGCTATGCACCTAATCATCTGGAAAAACTAATTAACTCTAAACACCTGCAGAGGATTCCTGAGGCCTTTAAAACTCCCAGCCTGGTTCATCACTCAGAACCCCAATCATGGGTCAGACTGCCGACCTGACTGCGTCCAGAAGGCCATCATTGACCCCCTCAAGCCAGAGGCTATGACACAGAAAGATGTTTCTGAACCAATAGGCTGTTCCCAGAGTGCTGCTGCATCAAGGCGCCTCAGTGGGAAGGAAAAAGTGGCAGAAAACGCTGCACAACCAGAAGAGGTGACCGGACCCTGAGGAAGACTGGGGAGAAGGTTCGATTCCAGAGCTTGAGGGACCTGAAGCAGTGGACTGAGTCTGGAGTAGAAACATCCAGAGCCACCGTGAACAGGCGTGTGCAGGAAATGGGCTACAGGTGCCGCATTCCCCAGGTCAGCCACTTTAGAACTAGAAACAGCAGCAGAGGCACCTGACCTGGGCTACAGAGAAGCAGCGCTGGACTGTTGCTCAGTTTTTCATGTCATCTGGAAATCAAGGTGCCAGAGTCTGGAGGAAGACTGGGGAGAAGGAAATGCCAAAATGCCAGAAGTCCAGTGACAAGTCCCCACAGTCAGTGATGGTCTGGGGCGCCATGTCAGCTGCTGGTGTTGGTCCACTGGGTTTTATCAAGGCCAGGGTCAATGCAGCTACCAGGAGATTTTGGAGCACTTCATGCTTCCATTTGCTGAAAAGCTTTATGGAGATGAAGATTTCATGTTTCAGCACCACCTGGCAGCTGCTCACAGAGCCAAAACCACTGGTAAATGGTCTACTGACCATCATTGGGCTCATTGGCCTGCCAACCTCCTGACCTGAACCCCATAGAGGATCTGTGGGATATTGTGAAGAGAAAGTAGAGAGACTCAAGACCCAACACTGTGGATGAGCTAAAGGCTAAACGCTATGGAAGCATCCTGGGCCTCCATGACACCTCAGCAGACTGATAGCCTCCATGCCACGCCGCACTGAAGCAGTCATTGAGTGCATAACTGTACATAATTATTTGAAGGATGACTTTTTTTTTATTGGTTGGATGAAATCTGCTAATTTTGTGAGATAGGAATTTTGGGTTTTCATGAGGTGTGTGCCAAAATAATCTGTATTAAAACAATAAAAGACCTGAAATATTTCAGTTAGCCTGCAATGAATCTAAAATATATGAATGTTCGTTTTATCATTACATTATGGAAAATAACGAACTTTATCACAATATGCTAATATTTTGAGAAGGACCTGTAAGTGCAGATCAGTAATGTGGACGTTTCTATAACCAAACTGTTGCTTCTATCTTCAGGGACACATTTATGTCATTTCCATTTAGAAACAAATTAGAACTGGCTGAAAACCAGTTTGCATGTAAATCCGCCCAGTGTATGAAAACATTTCCATCAGTATAACTGGTTATAACTTAGTTCCAGCTGAAATAAATGAGTGCAGACACATATTAATCTGTAGATCACCGCTGCATGAGGTCATTGGATCTCTACCGTTACATTGATAAGATCCAGTGGTTGTTATGGCGACCGCAGGACATCCTGCTCTCTGGGCTGCTGTGCCACATGACACCGCAGGAAAACAAAGATTTCAAAGTTTCAATTAACTCTGATCAAAGCAGACCAATAATAAAAAAATCTTCTCTCTTCCATTTAGAATAAATGGAATAAACATTTAATATTGTTTAAAATAGACATTTCTTTCATTTATCTCCTGTTTCAATTAATGTCCTTGAATTAAATATATGATGTTCTCCCTGTGATGATCATTTCTGTCACAGTTTATTTAGTTAAAGGACCCAATATGGCAGACAGTGGTACTTTAATGAAGAGATTTAATGAAGGTTTAAACAACAGAAGCATAAATCCAGGAACAACAAACCAGGAAAAACAGGAACCAGAGCAGAGAGCGACACATGAGGAACTTACAGAAGGGAATGGAGACAAACCCGCAATGACCAGCTGCAGAAAAGAATGAAGAGAGTGATAAGCTAACTGGGAGCAGGTGTGGACAGAAAGAGCTGAATGGGATCTGAGGAGTATTTGCACAATGAAGAGCAACCGAAAATACCATGGGCGTAGGTTTGGATAGGGACCATAGGGACATGTCCCTACCAAAATTTTGAACCGACCTAATTGTCCCTACCAATAATTGGATGTGAGCAACATGTTTATAATTTACAGCAGTAGTTGTTGCAGCAGTGGCTTCTTTTCCTCTCGCAGCTCCTCTGCCTGCTCTCTCCTGTCCCTTTAATGTAGCAGCGCATGGAACTGTGCTGCGCTGTTTAACTCCACTCTCATTGGTTGTTCTGCCTTAGGTCCCGCCTTCTCTCCCTTGATAGGCTGTTTTCTAGTCCGTCTGTGCTTGGAGCACAAAATTGAAAATGTATTCACACTAGAATGCTGCGGTTACTACAATTAATATTAGGTTGCAAAACTAGTCCCAATAAAAAAAGGAATATTATGTACACTAAAAAACAAAAACCTTTTTTTTTTTTCTTTTTTAAAACGAAATATTCTGAGTCAGCCAGGAGTTCTGAAGACTGCTGGAAAAATTGGCAAATAAAGGCTGTAAGCCATCAACATTTCTGATTCTTAGCCACAGCCAATTAAGAAAGAAAATGTGAGGGTTTCCTTTTTACCGATATTTAGTTGCTATTACTGTTTTCATTTTTTGATGACTCTTTCAGGTATAATTATTAGCAGGTGTTATTTCTTTTATAGAGTAGCCTATAACAACAAGAAATGGAGCCTAAACATCTGCTATTTTTTGTTTAAAAAGCATAATTAGGGTTCCACATAATAATAATAATTTAATTGACTATTTATACTTCTAGAAATAGGATAAAGACAAGAACAAACAGAGGAAGAATATTAACATTGATTTTATCTTACATAGATTTCCACAGTCTATAAGTAAATTATTACAAACATTAATGTCTGGTAAAAATGCTTGAATCTGACTGTTTATTTTGGATATTATTGAATTACAGATAAGATAGTGTTATATTGTCTTTTATAATTGTTAAAAGTGATTTTATATTTTAATAAACTTAGGCTCATGCTCAGTGTTGTGTTTGTAGATGATGCCACTAAAAAAGAAAATAGACATAAGGAGCTATTTAAACAGTCAGACAGTAAGCAATATAGGACAATGATAAAAGGTTGTGTTACATTTAATCCTTTACTATTAAAAATGCACTTATACATTATATGATTATAGGAAACACAGATATCCAGTAATAATGATCCAGGGCAGCTTGTAGGTGAAGCAGCTGCCCTTCAGTGCTTCAGGTGATGTCTAAATAAACCAGGTGATACTAAAATATTTCCTCTTGATGAGTTCTGGATGGAGAATATTGACAGACAAAAACATTTTTTTTAAATCTTATATATTATATATATATATGTTGTATTTTAAAAATTTTGGTATAATTACTGATCTAAGTGGGTTGCTCTGTCGGAGAAAGGCATATTTTACATTTTTATTATGTTTTAGAGTCTCTATTCTTCAGTTAATGATGAATCACTCACTAAATTAGTTGACGATTATTGAAATAATCAATGAATACGATTCATTTTTTCAGTCCCAGATAAAATACATGAAATGGGCGACACAGAGTAACTACAGCCCAGATGTTCCACTTTTATAGTGAAGTTAATATTTTAATGAATGTATTATTTTGCTTGATACAGAGAGAGCATAGTAGGTAAAAAAATATAAGAGTGGGGTTTAACTCTGCACAATTCTATATCTTCAGAAGACCTTCTCTCTTAGTCGTTCAAATGAAACCATTTTCAAAGTGGAAAACAGTCCTAATTTCACATTGATCAGAGCCGGTGATACTTCAAACATTGATAAACAGCATCTAATGAGTGTAGAGCTTATAACATTTTTATTAATGTAGCAAAATGATGCTTTTCTCTTTTAACAATGAATTCCTCTTATCAGTACGGATGCTCACACCGTGCATAAAAAAGGACATGCATATTGCATAGCACCAATGACAACCGACTGATAGTGTCCCTACCAAAGTTCAAATCAAACCTACGCCCTTGGAAAATACAACAGGCCCTAGAATTGAGAGAACAGAAAAAGGAAAGGATACTAATGAGTTAGAACCACAACTGCTGAGTTATAATCCAGCCGCTGTGTCCTCTAAAGACCAGATTCGTTAACTGGCTACGTCATAGCGCGACGCCGAGGCCTGTTCTGATTGGAAGACTCCTCATTATGCAGCTGACAAATGCAGCCTTATTTTTGAGAGGGGAAGGGTCCGCTGTATCCTCTGTAGCCTTGGGTATCCCATAATTCATTGCGACTCCAAGCAACCCAGAATAAACATCTTCCAGGATTAACTTAAAATTAAACAAATACAAAAAGAAAATCTCCAAAACGGAGCAGAAAGTGGCCAAACAAGTTTCAGCGCAGGATAATAAATGAAAACACAGGATAACATTAAACACCAAAAGTAAAACATAAAAGTCCAGATCAGAGGGCCATGATAAAATCACAGCTTTTCATTCCTCTTTAGGGGCATTGCAAAAAAAATTCTCTACATCTGAACTGAGCTAGACCTTTTCCTCTTGTAGCAAACTTTGCATCTTTTATTGCATCGATGAATCTTCTTCTCAGCTCCTGGTTGATCATGTAGAGGCAGAGCAGAACCAGAACCAGGCTCAGTGTGAACAGCCTCCTGCAGCGGCTTCATCTAGCAGAGAAACGGCTTCAGAGTCAAATCTGCTGCCAGTAAATCTCAGCCGACAGCTAAAGGAGATAGACAGAGTTAATTACTGAGACAGAACCAGGTGGATCCTCTCTGGAAGAGCAGGACGTCCATCAGCAGCTCCCTCCTGAAGCGCAGTTCTGTTCGCACAGCTGTCAGAGTTCTGGTTCTCCCTGTAACTTGGTGTGTGTAGTTTGCGGACATGTCCTTCCTGGTAGAATCCAGCCTCACCCTTCATTTTCTGCCGCAGGCCTCAGCTGCATGCCGAGCTCCGCTCTTGTTGAACTGCTGCACCGCGTGGAAGCCGCCATCCGCGAGTTCTCCGAGGAGCTGGTCAACCAGCTGGCTCGGCGGGATGAGCTGGAGTTTGAGAAGGAGGTGAAGAATACGTTCATCACGGCTCTGATGGAGGTGCAGAACCGGCAGAAGGAGCAGCGGGACAACAGCAAACGCAAACGCCGTGACAAGGCCCTGAGTCTGCAGGGGGGGGCGGTGTCCTCCAACGGGGGGAACACCGGCACCATGCCGGCCAAGGTCAGTGGTTAGGATTATTGACAGGAAGGAAAAACGATCAATCTGTTACCGAGGACAGAAACTGAAAATTTATAAAAACCAGATAAATAAAATATAGAATTTATATTATTATTGAAGTTATTGAAAAAATGACATTTAAGATTAATTCAATTCAACTTATTTCTATAGTGCCAATCCACAACACATTTAATCTCAAGGCACTTTACTTTACAGTCAGATTGATTCAAAGTTTTCTATTGAAGTAAAACCAGTTAATTGCATTGACTCACTAAGCATGCATGTAGCGACAGTGGAGAGGAAAAACTCCCTTTGAATAGGAAGAAACCTCCAGCAGAACCAGGCTCAGTGTGAGCGGCCATCTGCTGAGGCCCACTGGGGTTCAAGGAGACAGAAGCAGACATAGAAAAAGAAGCATAGATACAAAAGGCAACTGTCAACCAGCTCCACAGGCGGCCCCGTCCAGGAAACACACAGCCAGGCAGACGAGCTCCGAGCCAGCTCCCATGTCAGAGGATGAAGAGAGCACATCCAGTTAGTCACAGTCAGAGAAACAGGACTACACTGGAAAACAGGCCAAGCTCCAACATCTAGAAACAAAGGTGTTGATGGCAGCAGCACAGCTGATATTTCTCTCCAGGATGGAGTCACAGCCAAACAGGAACAGACCAGATGAAGCTACTATGAGAAAAAGCAGAGAGAGCAGAACGTTAGAGATTGAACTAACAGATTCTGCAGAGTGGGAGAATAGAGATAGAATGAAGCAGAATGATGAAAAAGGGGTCCCTATGTCCTCCAGCAGTCTAAGCCTATAGCAGCAGAACTATAGAGATAGCTCAGGATAATTTTAATTCAGGATGATTTTAAATTCTATTCTGGATTTAACAGGAAGCCAATGAAGAGAAGCCAGGATAGGAGAGATATGTCACTAGATTAGAATGAGGACAACAGGCCCCTCATTCATGATTCAAAATATGGGAAATATGTTTTTCTCTTACCTTCTAAAAGGTTGTTCTGTTCAATTATACTGTATTATAACAGAAAGGTGACATCACAGCTTCCAGCAGCTCTTCCTCTTCCCATCATGGATCTGTAGTCCATTAGACCAAATTATCTGCGTCCAGTAACAGCCCAGTTCAGTCCGCTCCAGTAACAGCCTAATGGATTTCACTGCATCAGTTTATCTGGGCTACCTGATGATGTCAGGTCAAAATGCAAAGTGGTGTTTATGATGAACATCAGCTGCTCGCTCAGTTGGTCTCTAACAGTCCCTCGCTCTGTGTGTGTGTCCTGCAGCGGTTCAGCATGGAGGGCCTTTCCAACATCCTGCAGACGGGCATCAGACAGACGTTTGGAAGCACAGGAAATGAGAAGCAGGTAAAACTGGTCATGTTTGATCTGCTGAATCTCTTCAGCTTCATGCTTAAAGAACGCCACCCTGAGGAACTCCTTAAAGCAAACTGATCATCTTTTACTCCCATGTTTATGAAATAATCAATATACCTTAAAAAGAAAAAAGAAAATATGAACCAAAGATGTCAAAGGTTTTAGCTCCAGACCAGGAGCTTTAGAAGCATCACTGGTCCAGCAGCCCTCAGTGAGATGGTTCCTCAGCAGACAGGAGGTCCTGAAAGGTCCTGGAAGGTTCCTCAGCAGACAGGAGGTCCTGAAAGGTCCTGAAAGGTTCCTCAGCAGAATGGAGGTTCTGAAAGGTCCTGGAAGGTTCCTCAGCAGACAGGAGGTTCTGAAAGGTCCTGGAAGGTTCCTCAGCAGACAGGAGGTCCTGAAAGGTCCTGGAAGGTTCCTCAGCAGACAGGAGGTCCTGAAAGGTCCTGGAAGGTTCCTCAGCAGACAGGAGGTTCTGAAAGGTCCTGGAAGGTTCCTCAGCAGACAGGAGGTCCTGAAAGGTCCTGAAAGGTTCCTCAGTAGACAGGAGGTCCTGAAAGGTCCTGGAAGGTTCCTCAGCAGACAGAAGGTCCTGAAAGGTTCCTCAGCAGACAGGAGGTCCTGAAAGGTCCTGGAAGGTTCCTCAGCAGACAGGAGGTCCTGAAAGGTCCTGGAAGGTTCCTCAGCAGACAGGAGGTCCTGAAAGGTCCTGAAAGGTTCCTCAGCAGACAGGAGGTCCTGAAAGGTCCTGGAAGGTTCCTCAGCAGACAGGAGGTCCTGAAAGGTCCTGAAAGGTTCCTCAGCAGACAGGAGGTCCTGAAAGGTCCTGGAAGGTTCCTCAGCAGACAGGAGGTCCTGAAAGGTCCTGAAAGGTTCCTCAGCAGACAGGAGGTCCTGAAAGGTCCTGAAAGGTTCCTCAGCAGACAGGAGGTCCTGAAAGGTCCTGGAAGGTTCCTCAGCAGACAGGAGGTCCTGAAAGGTCCTGGAAGGTTCCTCAGCAGACAGGAGGTCCTGAAAGGTCCTGAAAGGTTCCTCAGCAGACAGGAGGTCCTGAAAGGTCCTGAAAGGTTCCTCAGCAGACAGGAGGTCCTGAAAGGTCCTGAAAGGTTCCTCAGCAGACAGGAGGTCCTGAAAGGTCCTGAAAGGTTCCTCAGCAGACAGGAGGTCCTGAAAGGTCCTGAAAGGTTCCTCAGCAGACAGGAGGTCCTGAAAGGTCCTGGAAGGTTCCTCAGCAGACAGGAGGTCCTGAAAGGTCCTGAAAGGTTCCTCAGCAGACAGGAGGTCCTGAAAGGTCCTGGAAGGTTCCTCAGCAGACAGGAGGTCCTGAAAGGTCCTGGAAGGTTCCTCAGCAGACAGGAGGTCCTGAAAGGTCCTGGAAGGTTCCTCAGCAGACAGGAGGTTCTGAAAGGTCCTGAAAGGTTCCTCAGCAGACAGGAGGTCCTGAAAGGTCCTGGAAGGTTCCTCAGCAGACAGAAGGTCCTGAAAGGTTCCTCAGCAGACAGGAGGTCCTGAAAGGTCCTGGAAGGTTCCTCAGCAGACAGGAGGTTCTGAAAGGTCCTGGAAGGTTCCTCAGCAGACAGGAGGTCCTGAAAGGTCCTGAAAGGTTCCTCAGCAGACAGAAGGTCCTGAAAGGTTCCTCAGCAGACAGGAGGTCCTGAAAGGTCCTGGAAGGTTCCTCAGCAGACAGGAGGTCCTGAAAGGTCCTGGAAGGTTCCTCAGCAGACAGGAGGTCCTGAAAGGTCCTGGAAGGTTCCTCAGCAGACAGGAGGTCCTGAAAGGTCCTGAAAGGTTCCTCAGCAGACAGGAGGTCCTGAAAGGTCCTGGAAGGTTCCTCAGCAGACAGGGGGTCCTGAAAGGTCCTGAAAGGTTCCTCAGCAGACTGGAGGTCCTGAAAGGTCCTGGAAGGTTCCTCAGCAGACAGGAGGTCCTGAAAGGTCCTGGAAGGTTCCTCAGCAGACAGGAGGTCCTGAAAGGTCCTGGAAGGTTCCTCAGCAGACAGGAGGTCCTGAAAGGTCCTGGAAGGTTCCTCAGCAGACAGGAGGTCCTGAAAGGTCCTGAAAGGTTCCTCAGTAGACAGGAGGTCCTGAAAGGTCCTGGAAGGTTCCTCAGCAGACAGAAGGTCCTGAAAGGTTCCTCAGCAGACAGGAGGTCCTGAAAGGTCCTGGAAGGTTCCTCAGCAGACAGGAGGTCCTGAAAGGTCCTGGAAGGTTCCTCAGCAGACAGGAGGTCCTGAAAGGTCCTGAAAGGTTCCTCAGTAGACAGGAGGTCCTGAAAGGTCCTGAAAGGTTCCTCAGCAGACAGGAGGTCCTGAAAGGTCCTGAAAGGTTCCTCAGCAGACAGGAGGTCCTGAAAGGTCCTGAAAGGTTCCTCAGCAGACAGGAGGTCCTGAAAGGTCCTGAAAGGTTCCTCAGCAGACAGGAGGTCCTGAAAGGTCCTGGAAGGTTCCTCAGCAGACAGGAGGTCCTGAAAGGTCCTGGAAGGTTCCTCAGCAGACAGGAGGTCCTGAAAGGTCCTGAAAGGTTCCTCAGCAGACAGGAGGTCCTGAAAGGTCCTGGAAGGTTCCTCAGCAGACAGGAGGTCCTGAAAGGTCCTGGAAGGTTCCTCAGCAGACAGGAGGTCCTGAAAGGTCCTGAAAGGTTCCTCAGCAGACAGGAGGTCCTGAAAGGTCCTGAAAGGTTCCTCAGCAGACAGAAGGTCCTGAAAGGTTCCTCAGCAGACAGGAGGTCCTGAAAGGTTCCTCAGCAGACAGGAGGTTCTGAAAGGTCCTGGAAGGTTCCTCAGCAGACAGGAGGTCCTGAAAGGTCCTGGAAGGTTCCTCAGCAGACAGGAGGTCCTGAAAGGTCCTGAAAGGTTCCTCAGCAGACAGGAGGTTCTGAAAGGTCCTGGAAGGTTCCTCAGCAGACAGGAGGTCCTGAAAGGTTCCTCAGCAGACAGGAGGTCCTGAAAGGTCCTGGAAGGTTCCTCAGCAGACAGGAGGTTCTAAAAGGCGCGGTACTGAGAGGTTTGGCTGCATCATTTGGCCTTTTCTGCATTAATAAGAATGATGAACAAAAGGTTCTGATCTGAAGCTCCAGTTTTCCTCAGCTGCTGTTGTTCTGTGATGGGACTGATAAATCCTCTGATCTTCTCCTTGGCTTCAGTATCTGAACACCGTGATTCCGTATGAGAAGAAGACCACCCCTCCATCTGTGGACGACCTCCAGATGCTCACAAAGAGTAAGCATCCTAGCAGCTGATGATGAGGATGATTCAGAAAGCTCTAAATGATGAAGGACTCTCATCTTTTCCCACAGTTCTCTACGCCATGAAGGAGGACAGTGAGAAGGTACCGACTCTCCTCACTGACTACATACTGAAAGGTAAATACACCTGAATTCCAGTGGCGGCTGGTGGAGTTTTCTCCAGGGGGGGGGGCTATAAATTCAAAATAGACATTTACCAAAAACCAATCAAACATATACCAAGTTATCACACCAGTATATTTATATGGATGCCAATAAACTAAAACATTATATAAAAACAGGACATAATTTCACAAACAAGTTTACTTTTTGCACGTAAATCTTGCCCTTCTGACTCTTTCTGAGGGTAAATCTGTGTTTTGGTCCAATATTGTGTCACAAACCTAAGATAATAATGTACCAGTTTAATAATAAAAACTTTCTATTAGTCAGCTTTATATTTTTTTTAATATAAAACATCTATTTATTTTTTGAGAATGTGTTTATTTATGAGCAACTATGCAAATGATCAAACATCTAGAAAAAGTAGATTATATTCTATTTTTTTCCATGTGAATCCCAGATTGTTCATTCTTCTTTACCTTTTCTACAAACTGCTTTGAATCACTCCTAGCTGTCTTTATCCATGCTGGGTCAGATCCTGATGTTTGAAAAAGGAGGCAGAAAAGCAGGATAAAGCCCTAGCCTCGCTGCATGCAGTTAGCCTCGCTGCATGCAGTTAGCCTCGCTGCATGCAGTTAGCCTAGCTGCATGCAGTTAGCCTAGCTGTATGCAGTTAGCCTCGCTGCATGCAGTTAGCCTCGCTGCATGCAGTTAGCTTCGCTGTATGCAGTTAGCCTCGCTGTACGCAGTTAGCCTAGCTGTATGCAGTTAGCCTCGATGTACGCAGTTAGCCTAGCTGTATGCAGTTAGCCTCGCTGCATGCAGTTAGCCTAGCTGCATGCAGTTAGCCTAGCTGTATGCAGTTAGCTTCGCTGTATGCAGTTAGCCTCGCTGCATGCAGTTAGCTTCGCTGTATGCAGTTAGCCTCGCTGCATGCAGTTAGCTTCGCTGTATGCAGTTAGCCTCGCTGCATGCAGTTAGCCTTGCTGCATGCAGTTAGCCTCGCTGCATGCAGTTAGCTTCGCTGTATGCAGTTAGCCTCGCTGTACGCAGTTAGCCTAGCTGTATGCAGTTAGCCTCGATGTACGCAGTTAGCCTAGCTGTATGCAGTTATCCTCGCTGCATGCAGTTAGCCGCGCTGCATGCAGTTAGCCTAGCTGTATGCAGTTAGCTTTGCTGTATGCAGTTAGCCTCGCTGTATGCAGTTAGCTTTGCTGTATGCAGTTAGCCTTGCTGCATGCAGTTAGCCTAGCTGCATGCAGTTAGCCTCGCTGTACGCAGTTAGCCTAGCTGTATGCAGTTAGCCTCGCTGCATGCAGTTAGCTTCGCTGCATGCAGTTAGCCTAGCTGTATGCAGTTAGCCTCGCTGTACGCAGTTAGCTTCGCTGCATGCAGTTATCCTAGCTGTATGCAGTTAGCCTCGCTGCACGTAGTTAGCCTTGCTGCATGGAGTTAACCTCGCTGCATGCGGTTAGCCTCGCTGCATGCAGTTAGCCTAGCTGTATGCAGTTAGCCTCGCTGCATGCAGCAAAGCTAACTGCATACAGCTAAGCAGTAAGCCTAGCCTTCTTGCTGAATATATTTTTTCTTGCACCATTTCTCTCTCTCTCCAATGCGTCTCCAACTCCCGCATCACATGCTGTCAATCACTCGCAAATTGTCTGTTGCTGATGCGCAAGTACACTTCCTGTCACTTTAGGTCGCTGCTTAGCTGCGCTTGTCACTACCCGATCCGTCCTGCGTGAACAGAATAACTTCCTGCTAGGCAATACTTTGTTTTTCTTACTTTTAAACTCTTTTCTATTTTTCTGGTGGGGGGTTCCTTTTGACTTTCATTTGTGTAAATATCGCATATTCTAAAAATGAAAAAAAGCATAACCGTTAAATAGCCTTTGGAACGTTACCGTGACTCCTCTGAGCGTGTCCCATGATGAAGTCACGCAATACAATAGAGAGAATGGAAAACGTATCCATTTCTTCAAGAAAAGTCTTCAATATTTTCTATATGATGTAGTTTAGCATCATTTAATGTTTTAATTATATAAATAAGTATTGTCAGTACCGTTATTACGTAGTTTTTCTGCGATCCAGATCTTATTATTCTGTTTGCGTAGGACGGATGGTGCTTCCGGGACGAATCAGGAAGGTACATGCGCCCTGGGCCGTCCTCTCCTTCTGTATTGCAGAGGAGCTGCTGCGCATGTACAACTTTAACGAGTCAATGTGTAAACATTTCTGTGCCCTATGGCGGAAATACGTCACCAATCCATCAAAAAGTGACGCTTTACTCGATATTGAAGATTGAATATTTATCTTGCACATCTAAAATATATATATATTAAAATGTGAATTTTTTATTTAAAATTAAATCTTAAAAAAATATATTTTTTATTATGCCCTAATCAGAGTCATTGGTTGGGTGGGTCAGCGCTCTAGCGCCCTCTATTGGCCAGCCGCCACTGATAGATTTCCGTTGGACAGTCTTTAGCTGCTTCAGAGAATGCATCAGTGTTGGTTTTATCATCCGTTTCAGTCCTCTGTCCCACCTAAGGAACCATCCATCCAGGCACCATGGTGTGACCCGGAAATCAGCCCCAGAACCTTCCTCCCGTCTGGCCCAGTCTGCATGAGCTCCCCTCGTTTTCAGCCATGGATCGCCACCATCCTCATTATCGCCTCCATCTAAACTACAACTACTGCCTCCTGCTGAGCTCACCTCCTCCTTTCCTGCACATTGTTTTCCGGCCGGACACCAAGATGGCCGCCGCCTGGCTAGCAGCTGGGATGGCCTAATCCCACTTTTACAGGACTTCACTAACGGAGCATGACGTTCTGGTTAACGATCACAAAGATCACTTTGGTGCAGGGATCCAGCTCCAGATTTCACTTGTCTTAACTTCATATCTAGTATTTTATTTATTATGTGTTGATAGTTTTTCACTGACTTCATTAACAAGCAATGATTGTTCTGTTGGCCACAGATCTTCTGTCATCCGTATGAAACTCAGTGTAAAAGTGATTCATAAGAATCTGAAAGCCATGCACCTCCTTCTGCCAGCTCAGTACTGTAGGATGAGAAGAACACACTACTATTACGGGTGCAGTGCATTACTAGGCTTCTGTCTCAATGAATATCCAGTGCTCTTCAAACCTTTTTTTATTGTATTTATTTCATTTATTTTGAAATATTAATATATCTATTCTGTTGTACATGTTTTTCTTTTGTTCACTGTAACATCAGAGCGTGTTGTTTCCGCTCTCCACAGGGACGAGTAAATCTGTGATTCTTTTTTTATTTTGTTGACTGAAGAAAACAATTTTAATAACACTGTATGGATTTACATATTGGCCTATTTCTTACTTCTATTGCCCCCATGTAGATGAATGTTACATTGCTTAATTGCTAATTCTAATAAACTTCTACCCTTAATCTGTTTTACTCCTTTTATGTTACAGAAATGCACCTGAAAGAAGGTCAGTTAACAAATGAAATCAATGAAAATAATCACGGTTACAGTTTGATTATTGATCCTATAAGAATGAGAACAAACAGAGAAACATTCAGTTCCCATGTTTCGGCCGGCCTGTTATTGTCTGACAGTGATGTGCTGACTTTTTCTACCTATTTTCACAGCTGAAGGTTCAATTCTATTCAGTTTATTTCTATAGCGCCAATTCACCTCATGTAATCTCAAGGCACTTTAAGGAGACAATTCAACCAGATTATCAAGTCAGATTGGTTCAAAGTTTTCTATCTAAGGTAAACGACAGTGGAGCTGAAAGACTTATTTTTAACAGGAAGAAACCTCCAGCAGAACCAGGCTCAGTGTGAGCGGCCATCTCCTAAGGCTGACTGGAGTTCAAGGAGACAGAAGCAGACATAGAAAAAGAAGCATAGATACAAAAAGCAACTGTCAACCAGCTCCACAGGCGGCCCCGTCCAGGAAACACACAGCCAGGCAGATGAGCTCCGAGCCAGCTCCCATGTCAGAGGATGAAGAGAGCACATCCAGTTAGTCCCGGTCAGAGAAACAGGACCACACTGGAAAACAGGCCAAGCTCCAACATCTAGAAACAAAGGTGTTGATGGCAGCAGCACAGCTGATATTTCTCTCCAGGATGGAGTCACAGCCAAACAGGAACAGACCAGATGAAGCTACTATGAGAAAAAGCAGAGAGAGCATAACGTTAGAGATTGAACTAACAGATTCTGCAGAGTGGGAGAATAGAGATAGAATGAAGCAGAATGATGAAAAGGGGTCCCTATGTCCTCCAGCAGTCTAAGCCTATAGCAGCAGAACTATAGAGATAGCTCAGGATAACCTGAGTCACTCTAACTAGAAGCTTTATCAAAAAGGAAAGTTTTAAGCCTAGCCTTAAAAGTAGACAGGGTGTCTGCCTCACGGACTAAAACTGGTAGTTGGTTCCACAGGAGAGGAGCCTGAGAACTAAAAGATCTGCCTCCCATTCTACTTTTAGAAATTCTAGGAACCACTAGTAAACCTGCAGATTGAGAGCGAAGTGCTCTGTTAGGAACATAAGGAACAATCAGATCTCTGATATCAGATGGAGCTTGGCCATTTAAGGCTTTATATGTGAGAAGGAGGATTTTAAATTCTATTCTTGATTTAACAGGAAGCCAATGAAGAGAAGCCAGGATAGGAGAGATATGATCTCTCTTTTTCATTTTCATCAGAACTCTGGCTGCAGCATTTTGGATCAGCTGGAGGCTTTTAACTACAGTTTGTGGACTTCCTGATAGTAAAGAATTACAATAGTCCAGCCTTGAAGTAACAAATGCATGGACTAGTTTCTCAGCATTACCCCCTATGGTGTTTTCTAAGAATTGGATGCTGTTTAGTGTGTCTCTGTGTGGTGGACTCCCAAACTCTCCAGCATACAGGACTCTAAGTGCTGGACACATGTACCAGCCGTGACATAGATGGAGGCAGGGAGACGCATAGAGCTTAAAACTAAATCACAAACCGAAAACATTGTAGAAATATGAGGGTCTGTCATTTGGTGACACTCAAGAAAAATTTAAGCATACCGGTGCAGAAATAGATATATAAATACATATATGTTTTTTAATTTCTTTCATTCTGATTTTTGTGGTCCAATTGATTTACTACTGTTTTTCTTGTATATTTTCTCTGTTTTATTATCTAATTTATGTAAAGCCCTTTGAAATGCCCGTGTAAATTGACTCCCCATAAATACAGGTCCTTTTCAAAATATTAGCATATTGTTTGGGTTTTCATGAGCTGTATGTCAAAATCATCCATATTAAGACAATAAAAGACCTGAAATATTTCAGTTAGTGTGCAGTGAATCTAAAATATATGGATTTTCAAGTTTTATCATTACATTATGGAAAACAATTAACTTTATCACATTATGCTAATATTTTGAGAAGGACCTGAAGTTTTTCATCTCATTCTTAAATTCTCGTTTAGAAATTGAGCTGCTTTGTCGCCATCTGGTGGCCATCTGCAGCTTGGATTGTACATTTTCTCTTTGTCCAAAAACCTGCAGCATGTTTCATCCATTCAAACATGTTTGTTTTATGTTGAAATCAACTCATATTTTCTCACTTATACCTTCAGCCTTTATCTAAGTAAAACTCACACAGTTATAACAGTTTAATACTTTTTTGAGAATCTTCATCAGCAACAGTTTAATACAATGCTCTGTGTGTCTGGATATAACTTAAACGATACGTATAAGAAAAACATTAAAAACATTAACCAAGCAGTTTGTTTGCATTTTATTTTAAAATCAGATGAACTTAAATATGAAGTATAGAAGAGCACGTTGATGTCAGCAGTTTAGGCTCTCTGCATAAATATAATGTTCCTGGTGTAAAAACGATCATTCAGTAAAATCACTGTATAAAGAAACTCTGTTTCTGTGCTCTTAGATTTGCTGTATAAAAATAAAGGCTTGTCTTAATAATACATTAAAATCATCAATGTACACATTAAAATGACTCATTCATACTTAAAGGCTGATAACTAAGAAATTTAAACATTTTCCAGTTTATGTGCTATTAATATTGCAATGCTTTGCTGTAAAGCTAAAAAACAAACATTTCCATCAGATTATCTCAGAACAGAGTTTTTTTTACATAAATGTTCCCAGTGTATGAAAGTACAGCAGAAAAGGGACATTTTATCACCACGTTTGTAAAACTTAGAAAAGACAAATATAAAAAGAAAGAAATCTAAATATCTCATTAAAAAAGAAGAGTATACATGGGGTCACGTGGCAGGTTTGTAAAGAGGAGCTTTTATCTCGATCAACATGGCGTTTTAAACTCTTTATAATTTTAAGCTAAACTCTGGAGTTAAAGGTTGCTTCTGTAAACCAACAAATTTTCCGTCAGTTTCTGATTTGTTACGTTTGCCACGGTGTTGATGAATCAGCTCAGCGTGTTTCAGAACGCTTGGTCCTGATTCTGGTTCCGTGCAGAGGAGCAAAGGTGGCCTTTCAGGGTCATCCACTCAGCAGGATCAGAGATTTAAGGTGGAAACAGGAAGCAGACGCTCATCTCACTGCTTGGATTTTTTATTTAGTTGTAGGATTAGTTTTGTTTTTTCTGTTTCTACTGTTTTCTACCAGATCACTTTGAACACAAGAGGAACATAAACTGCTTTTCATTTCTTTTGAACTGCGGCTCCAAAATGAAGACTTTTTTTGGAAATATGTTCATGTGTTCCTACTAACATAAATTATCCTAACATGAGCTCACTGCAAAAAAGAATCTAAAATTAGTCAACATTTCTTAGATTAAGCGTATTAACTCTTAATTTGAGCAGGTAAATAAGATGATCTGCCAATGGAATCAGTATGTATACTCTTAGAATAAAATAATTTTATAATATGCACTTAAAATAAAACAATGAAATTGTTTTTTTCTTATTTTAAATGTAAATGGTCTTCTTCCATTAGCAAAGTGTCTTTCTTATGCACTTATTTAGACAAAAATGACTTATTTAGATTCCAGGTTTTTGCAGTGAGATCATACTTTTTCTATTAATTGTTAAAAATAAAAATATGAATACACTTTAGTTTCCTCCTGTCAGATGTAATGACACCTCGCCCCAAACAGGCAGGAACCTCGTAGCTTTCCTTACTGACTGTTTTGGAGCGTCTGCAGCTCTGAGGTCATTCAGCAGTTTTCCTTCAGCCTCAACAGACCCAGAGAGAATTTCTGATTAAAACTGAGCAGATTTAGAATGAAGCAGAAGCTCTGCAGGAATGATTCATTTTACTTAAAGTTTCCATATAAATGGAGCAAACAGGAAGAGGTTTGCATTTTGACTTTCAAAATAAAATGCCTTCCATAATAACAGGTTGGAATACTTAAAACTTACAAAGTCGTTGTGCTTGAAATAATGATTGAATGCATTAATTGTGAATGTATTATCTTATTTCTTGTGCATTAATATCTAATTCTCTCACTTTAGTAGTAAAAATATTCATTGTATTGCAGATCACCTTGTTAACATGCTCAAAATAAGGGGTAATACACTTAATTTGAGAAATTGTTACTTATTTCTCGTTGGTTTTTGCAGTGTTAACGGGTTATGGAAACTTTTAACTTAAAATATGATTGAATGAAATAATAAGTGAAGCCAAGCCTTCAACATCGCTGTGATTCCTGCAGCGTTGGTCTGCTGTGATCGCTGATAGAAAAGCTGAGGTGGATAAATTTCTGGAACAATCAGCTTTAACAGCGTTTATAGAGGAGGCCAATATAATCTGATACTAGTTTATAGCGGATATTGAACTGATATCTGATATCAGATTAGGGCATCATTTGTTCTTGATGTTCTGTTAATCCAACAATAAAGGTAATTCTGTGTCTGAACGTCATCACTCACCTACTGAAAGCATCCTAACCAGCTGCATGATGGGGCGGAAGCTGCACGGACTTTAGCAGCTTATTGAGAAAACAGACACCCGCCCTGCGAAACATAAACACGCCTCACCCACTAAGCAATCACCCTCCTGTCCTCTGGGGGGAGCTACAGGAGCCTCTGTTCCTGCACCAGCAGCTGTGAGGAAGATGAATTCTGTCCCATCAGAGCTGTCAGGAAGCTAAGAAAACCCTCCAGCATAGAGGCTTCACTATCTGCACTATTGTCACTTTGTCCTGTTATCACTGTGGGACGGTGAGGAACGTAACTTTGATCCCTTTGTATGTCTGGTAAAGAAATCTACAAATACTTTTTTTAACTTTAAACTTAGTTATGTAAAAATATATGAAAAGACTTAAAAAATAAAAAAAAATAAAAGCAAAGCTGAATGCAGTCTGGAAGACATTTCACAGCCGACAAACGTCACATGTAGAAATTGGTCCTGAAGGAAACCTGATGATGTTCATGAAGGAAAATAAGCACAATGAAGAAAAAAACAGAATCAGTTTAACTTTGACTCCAATCAGGACCTCAGTCAGGCCCCCACTGGTTCAACACCTGTTCACTAGAACACAATTACGGACCTGTGTTCTCACCAAGTCCGTTCTAGAAAAGAACCTAGGACTCTGGGAGAACGGGAGCACGCAGCATGAATCTGGGTCAATTGGAACAGATGCGTACTGATGACATCATCACACGCTCAGCTTGTTTGGAGATGCATTTCACCTGGCTAGCCTTGGCTGCCACAGACGGGCTAATGTTAGCTCCGGCTGCAACAGACGGGCAAACGTTAGCTCCATCTGTCGCAGACAGGCTAACGTTAGATCCGGCTGCCGCAGACGGGCTAATGTTAGCTCCGGCTGCCGCAGACCGTCTAACGTTAGCTCCAGCTGCTGCAGACGGGCTAACGTTAGCTCCGGCTGCCGGAGACGGGCTAACGTTAGCTCCGGCTGCCGCAGACGGGCTAACGTTAGCTCCGGCTGCCGCAGACGGGCTAACGTTAGCTCCGGCTGCCGCAGACCGTCTAACGTTAGCTCCGGCTGCTGCAGACGGGCTAATGTTAGCTCCAGCTGCCGCAGACCGTCTAACGTTAGCTCCGGCTGCAACAGACGGGCAAACGTTAGCTCCATCTGTCGCAGACAGGCTAACGTTAGATCCGGCTGCCGCAGACGGGCTAATGTTAGCTCCGGCTGCCGCAGACGGGCTAACGTTAGCTCCGGCTGCCGCAGACCGTCTAACGTTAGCTCCAGCTGCTGCAGACGGGCTAACGTTAGCTCCGGCTGCCGGAGACGGGCTAACGTTAGCTCCGGCTGCCGGAGATGGGCTAATGTTAGCTCCGGCTGCCGCAGACCGTCTAACGTTAGCTCCGGCTGCCGCAGACCGTCTAACGTTAGCTCCGGCTGCCGCAGACCGTCTAACGTTAGCTCCAGCTGCTGCAGACGGGCTAATGTTAGCTCCAGCTGCCGCAGACCGTCTAACGTTAGCTCCGGCTGCCGCAGACCGTCTAACGTTAGCTCCAGCTGCTGCAGACGGGCTAACGTTAGATCCGGCTGCCGCAGACGGGCTAATGTTAGCTCCGGCTGCCGCAGACGGGCTAATGTTAGCTCCGGCTGCCGCAGACCGTCTAACGTTAGCTCCAGCTGCTGCAGACGGGCTAACGTTAGCTCCGGCTGCCGGAGACGGGCTAACGTTAGCTCCGGCTGCCGGAGATGGGCTAATGTTAGCTCCGGCTGCCGCAGACCGTCTAACGTTAGCTCCAGCTGCTGCAGACGGGCTAACGTTAGCTCCGGCTGCCGCAGCCGGAGCTAACGTTAGCTCCGGCTGCCGCAGACCGTCTAACGTTAGCTCCAGCTGCTGCAGACGGGCTAACGTTAGCTCCGGCTGCCGGAGACGGGCTAACGTTAGCTCCGGCTGCCGGAGATGGGCTAATGTTAGCTCCGGCTGCCGCAGACCGTCTAACGTTAGCTCCGGCTGCCGCAGACCGTCTAACGTTAGCTCCGGCTGCCGCAGACCGTCTAACGTTAGCTCCAGCTGCTGCAGACGGGCTAACGTTAGCTCCGGCTGCCGGAGACGGGCTAACGTTAGCTCCGGCTGCCGGAGATGGGCTAATGTTAGCTCCGGCTGCCACAGACCGTCTAACGTTAGCTCCAGCTGCTGCAGACGGGCTAATGTTAGCTCCAGCTGCCGCAGACCGTCTAACGTTAGCTCCAGCTGCTGCAGACGGGCTAATGTTAGCTCCAGCTGCCGCAGACCGTCTAACGTTAGCTCCGGCTGCCGCAGACCGTCTAACGTTAGCTCCAGCTGCTGCAGACGGGCTAACGTTAGCTCCGGCTGCCGGAGACGGGCTAACGTTAGCTCCGGCTGCCGGAGATGGGCTAATGTTAGCTCCGGCTGCCACAGACCGTCTAACGTTAGCTCCAGCTGCCGCAGACCGTCTAACGTTAGCTCCAGCTGCTGCAGACGGGCTAATGTTAGCTCCAGCTGCCGCAGACCGTCTAACGTTAGCTCCAGCTGCTGCAGACCGTCTAACGTTAGCTCCAGCTGCTGCAGACGGGCTAATGTTAGCTCCGGCTGCCGGAGATGGGCTAATGTTAGCTCCGGCTGCCGGAGATGGGCTAATGTTAGCTCCGGCTGCCGCAGACCGTCTAACGTTAGCTCCAGCTGCCGCAGACGGGCTAATGTTAGCTCCAGCTGCCGCAGACGGGCTAACGTTAGCTCCAGCTGCCGCAGACGGGCTAATGTTAGCTCCAGCTGCCGCAGACGGGCTAATGTTAGCTCCAGCTGCCGCAGATGGGCTAACATTAGATCCAGCTGCCGCAGACGTGCTAACGTTAGCTCCAGCTGCCGCAGACGGGCTAATGTTAGCTCCAGCTGCCGCAGACGGGCTAATGTTAGCTCCAGCTGCCGCAGATGGGCTAACATTAGATCCAGCTGCCGCAGACGTGCTAACGTTAGCTCCAGCTGCCGCAGACGGGCTAACGTTAGCTCCAGCTGCCGCAGACGGGCTAATGTTAGCTCCGGCTGCCGCAGATGGCCTTAGATGATGAGACTCACTGTTCAATCAGTTTCCCTTCCTTCTCAGCACCGAAGAAGATTCTTCCCCTAAGAAGAATTTCTTCTATTGAGAAAAAACCTGCTTTGTGGCTCAGGAGTTTCTCCACCCCTCCCCAGCAGGGGGCATCGTTCCAGCAGGAGCCAAGCTTCAACCAATCCAGACCCTGCAGGGATGATTCATAACCATCCTCTTTTTTAAGGTTGCATCAGGTGACGGCGGTCGGTGGAGTCTCTCCACTTCCTGTTTCATCTTTAAGGAGATTTGGAAAAAATAAACTCTTCTAAAAAACAACATGGCTGCTGTTTGAAGAAAGCAGAAAACTTATAGAATCATAATAAAAAAAGTAAAAAAAGGATCATATCAAAATAATTAGTGGGAACAGAATATATAAAAGAGTGAAACCAAAGCGAGTAAACAGCGCATCAGGGCAGCCTGCTGTTCTTCTTCTTCTCCTCCTATCTGCTAATTCATTAAAACATAAAGAGTCCAGCGCAGAGCGACTGTAACAGTCCAACATTTATGGCACTTCTTCTAGACCAGAGAGCCGGCTTGGTTTTGTGCAGGCACCATAATGGGCACCCCTCCCATGCGGTTGATGTTGGAGGCTGTGATGGTGGAGGTGGGCAGCGGTGGGGGGGACGGAGCGGGCTGGAACTGCCTCTGCAGCTGGCTGTAGGCCTGCGCCAGCTCCTGGGCCTGGGGCAGATGGCCGTAGCGCTCCTGAACCCCGTTGGCGGCCTGGGAGGAGGTGGGCTGTCCGTGGGGCAGCGTGCTGCTGTGGTTGTAGCTGAAATGAGTGGGAGTGGCCGCCCCCTGGTGGCGGGGCGGCCTGTAGCCGGCCGCGCTGCCTGTAGCGGTGATGATGGAGGCGGTGTCTGAGGCAGGGTGCTGGGGGTATTGCTGCAGGTGGTGGTTGTTCAGGTGGGCGGAGGGCTCCCTGTGGCGGGAGCTGGAGGCGATGGAGGACAGCGTGCCGTTCTTGGAGATGACATCAGAGCCGATGCCGCTCTTTGCCCAGGAAACTCGTTTGGGAGCCTGAGCGTCTTCCCTGCAGGGGGTTTTAAAAAAAAAAACGTGAAAAACACTGAAGCATTTCATCTTCCTTGGTTCTTCCTCCTGCTTCCCTGCTGACTTCATCTTATGTTTCATTTTTTCGTCTGTTTCAGACGCTTTCATCTTCATGTTTCTGCAAATCCATGAACAGGCCAGCTGACAGCTTTGCTAGGACCAGGGACAACACAGTTTGTTGCAAAAGATCAAGTATTTCTATAAAATAAAATGTGTCTTTGCCCCTACACCAGCTAGCAGATGCTATATATTAAAATCCCATTGATAAACAAATTACTTATTTGGCTCTGGCTCTGAATGGGCATCATTGTTCTGCAGTTCTGTTCCTGGACCTGTTCCTGACTCATCCTCAGTTTATTTTTAATATTTGCTCATAAAATCCCTGCAGCCTTTGGTGTCATCTTTCCTTTTTCTCTTTTTTTCTGTGCGCCGGACTTCTGTAAACCTGAAGCTTTTTTATTCAGCAAAACAAACTTTAAAAGTTGCAGCCCGTTGTCCTGGTCAAACCATTTTATGTTGGGGTGGGGGGAGTTCTAATGGCCCCTTATTTAAAGAAAGCATATTATATAATCCTAATGTGTATATATATATATACATATATATATATATGTATATATATATATAGCTATGTAATAGCTAACTGTTTCTTTTTCAGAGCAGATTCAAATCCTCATCATAGAGAAGTAGAAGAAATTTAAAGTCCCTCAGTGTTTTTGATCAAAGCCCTTTAAACCCAGAGGCCTCACTGTCTCCTCCCCTCAGTCCTGCTAATCTTTACTGACCTTCAACAGCAAATGTTTCATCTGACCTGATGTAATAAATGTGCTTTATTACCTAAACTCTGATAAATTGGTGAAATGTAACGTTGGGCTGTTTCTCCATGAACTCACTTGATGTCGTTGGCCATGTCGTCCTCTCTGTCTCTTCTCCTCTTGAAGACGAACAGAAACCCGGCGCAGACACAGAGGAGGAAGATGAACCCGAGGACGGATCCAACTGTGGCGCCAACGATCACTCCAACCTTATTGTCTGAAATGGATGCAGAAGGATGTCAGCTTTGCTTCCAGAGTGGCAGCAGAGGGAAAGAGATTTCAGAGCTACGTACTGTCAATGATGTCCAGGCTGATGGAGCAGTTCTCGCTGCCTGCCGAGTTGCTGGCGACGCACACGTACTTCCCCGACATGTTGCCGCTCAGGTTGCTCAGCTTCAGAGTCCCAGTGTTCTCATCTACGACATCAGCCAAAGGTTAAAAAGGTTAAAAACAGGATCTCAGCAGTGGTTTACATCCTGTACAACCACCCAGTTAGTCTAAATAAATCCCAGTTCACCAGTTTGTAATTTTATTAATACCAGAAAGAAAGCAATGAATGAAAACCTGGAGATGTTTATATAAACAACTAAATGATTTAAATTAACTTTTTAAACCTGTAAATTCCTTCCTAAAACTTTTACATTTTCATTATACTGCAAATATAATTAATTGCCATACAAAACAATCTAGAAATTAGTATAATAACTCTTAATTTTAGAAGGTAAATCAGATGATTTGCCAATGGGAATGATTAGCTTTACTCCTAAAATAAGATAGTTAGAGAGCATGCAGGTTTTTTTTTCATTCTTAATGTAAATTGTCTTGTTCCATTGGCAAAATGTCTCACTTACCTCCTCAACTTAAGAAAAGATGCACTTAATCTAAAGCTCCTGTCACACCTTGATGATTTAGACCAGCGTATGTCTGATGTATGTTGCTATGGTTATGGGTAAGTTATGAGCACGCTGAAACACGTCGACATACAGCAAACATCAAGACATTTTCAGCAAGCTCAAAATGTCCCGCCCTATGCCAGCGTCTGCCATCAGTTCCAGGTCAGTTATCTGATGGTTGACATCCGTTCAGTCTGAGTTCCTCATCAGTCGTGGCGTCTAGCTGATCCTAAACCTCTGAGTAACTTCTGCGTAACTTATCCAGAACTTCTCTCAAAGCATATCAAAGTATCTGACGTGTTCCAGACGAGCGCTGAACGTGTTTCTAACTTCCAGCTACTGTATAATGGCGTATTGGCACACTGGAAAAAATCGAAATCTAGATAAGTAATTTTTTCTTAAAATAAGTGAATTTGTTCTCGAATTGAGGAGGTGAAAGATACATTTTGCCAATGGAACCATACAATTTACACTCAAAATTAGAAAACACTATTGCATTGTCTTATTTCAAGTGCCTTTTGTGTAAATAGTTAATTTTAAGAGTAAAAATACTCATTCCATTGTCAAATCATCTCATTTACCTACTCAAATTAAGGGTAAATACACTTAATTCAAGAACTTTTTACTTATTTCTAGGTCGATTTTCCAGTTTTGGTATAAAGGGGGTTCACAGGAGGAAACCGTCAGTTTTCCTCCAGACTTCATCCCCATCATAGGGTGAGCCAGAAGGTGAGTGATGGATCCTCCCTGCGTTCACGCCCACCACCAACAAACTTCCCAGCAGACATGACGTTCAATCTGCTGCCACCAAAAACCGTCCTTCTTTCTTTTCGTTTTTTTGGGAGGGCGGTAAACAGCAGCTAGGTTAATACTGTGATCAAAGAAATCTTTTGAAATTTTCTGCAGGCGGGCGCATCCGGGTGCACTGCTGCTCCCCTCAGGACACTGGCTTGTGCATCACTTCCTGGGCATTACGCTGCCGTGCATTATGCAGAAGTTAGGCTGTCATTGGACAGAAGTTCTGGACTCGTTATGAATGCTCTATGTTTACGCCCAGAATAGAAAGAATCCATAGAGAGTTGAGCGTATGCCAGAGTTTAGGAGATTCTGGGACGTCAGGCAGATGCTGGATAAATCAGCAAGGTGTGAAAGGACCCTAAGCAAAAATCACTTATTGGGATTTAATTTTTTTGCAGTGTGCACTGCCCCACAGCCAGAGGCTTTAATTGGAACCTGTCGCTGCTTTTAATGAGGTTGAGGGTTTCACGCTTAAAGGCAGCACTTGTCCCTGATGAATGAGACGTCCCGCTGAGGTGTTCCAGGCACGTCCCACAGGGACGCGGCCCAGGGGACGACCCAGGACACCATGGAGGGACTATGTCTCTCTGCTGGCCTGGAGCGCCTCAAGCTTTTCTGCAGAGAGGGAAGTCTGGTCAGTCCCAGATGAAGCGGGAGAAGACGAGGAAGCTTCTGCTAGTGTGAACAAGTCAACCAAAGGCTTTACAAGGAGTCATTTCAATCTAATCATTCAGACAGTTTGGTTCAAAATGTTCAGTTTTTATCATAAGGAAACCCAGCAGATTAAGGTTGAATCATTGATGAGCAGAATAAGCTCCTCCTGGCCAGTAGTGGACAGATGTGTGCACGCTGCATTTTTGTTCACTTCTCTGGAATGCACTCTTTGTGCGGCGAGATGTTTTGGTTCTCTCTGCACCTCGGCTTCAGATAAAGGATCCAGAAGTTAAACTAGAGAGAACCTGGCGATATGTCTGAAATGATGTCATGGTTTCATCACAGGCTCGCGTTTTAGTAGTATTGTGGAGATGTTTTTTTTTTTTTATTCACTCTTCCTGCAGAGTTAGATCAAAGGCATCTGTTTTAAGGTTTGATTCGGCTCTACTCACTGAGCATCGGTGCAAAGAAGACTTCAGAGGTTGGACTGGTTCTCCTCCACTTGTACAGTGGGACTGGCTTCCCAGCACTCGACTTGCAGGTCAGAGTCACATTTCCTTTCAGCACAGGCTTCCCAGAGAGGGAGCAGGTGGGAACAGCGGGGGGGACTGGGGAGAAACAGAAAATTTCAGACGTCTGGCTATGTAGCCATCTCCATAGATGTCTCCATTTAGACTTTACTAATGAGAGGTTCTCCTCACCTTTCACATCCAGCAAGATCTCAGCAGGCTTAGCAGAACCACCGGGACTGATGACCTGACACACAAAGCGCCCGGAGTCAGACTCCCGGGTGTTGTTGATGAACAGCGACACATCACTTGAGGGCATGTCCTTGACAAAGCCAACGCGGCCCCTGAACTGGTCACTGCCCTCATTGATAGAGCCTTTGGTGTAGCTGATGACCTGAGGAGCAGGACAGACAAAAACATAACAAGAATGTCTTTATCCCGCTGGAAACACAGCCCTACAGACGGCTTAAAACAGGTCTGCCTCCACTGTCCGAGGCAGAGAGGCAGACTGACCAACCGGCGGGCTCCTGTGGGGTCAGAGGACTGCTGATAATCCCTAAATCTTTGGCTCATGAAAATGAAAATGTGGGGGATTTCTTATAATCATGTTACAGTTACAAGAATGAAGATTTGTTTGTGTTGATAAAGCCTCCCTGCAGGTACTGAGTCACGTCAAACAATCCCGGGTTGGAAAAGCTTGGCTCTCACCCAAAAAACAAACAGCAATAACAAAAGACAAGATTTATCCTCTGGTTTGTGGATTTCAGTTTGAAACATGATCGAATCTCTAAGATGATCAACAGATGAGCCAAAAAAAAAAACCAATAGTTTTCCTGGTCTTCGTTTCTCACCTCTTCTCAATAAGTGTACTTGTGCGTTTTTGTGTCGTTGTGAAATGTCATGAGCCTCAGCACAGTTCCAGTTCACAAGAACAGCAGACAGAGGACGGAAACAGTCCCCGGATACTGTTCTGGCCCCTCCCTCTTTACCCAGCATGCATCAGAGCAGACTTGTGCTTCCTCCAGATTGACAGCTGTCCCAGCATGCACTGCGGCAGCAGCAGCTTCCAGGTTAGCGCTCACAGAGTATTAAGTTAAAAGTTCTCTTTTCTGTTGTTGTTATTCTAGAAAACTGCATTTTAAGATAATTTGAGGCAAGAACATTATACTTTAAGTGTCATTATATATGGCCCATTTACTGATTTAGAGAGTAATTTAGAAAAAGCTCTGATGTTGAGAGGACCGTGTCAACCAGTGGAACTCCGAAGCTAACCACAGCCAGGGCTAACGTTAGCCCGTCTGCAGCAGCTGCCAGGGCTAACGTTAGCCTGTCTGCAGCAGGCAGGGCTAACTTTAGCCGTCTGCGGCAGCCAGGGCTAACATTAGCCCGTCTGCAGCAGGCAGGGCTAACATTAGCCCGTCTGCAGCAGCAGCCAGGGCTAACTTTAGCCGTCTGCAGCAGGCAGGGCTAACATTAGCCCGTCTGCAGCAGGCAGGGCTAACATTAGCCCGTCTGCAGCAGCTGCCAGGGCTAACATTAGCCCGTCTGCAGCAGCAGCCAGGGCTAACTTTAGCCGTCTGCGGCAGCCAGGGCTAACATTAGCCCGTCTGCAGCAGCTGCCAGGGCTAACATTAGCCCGTCTGCAGCAGCAGCCAGGTCTAACTTTAGCCATCTGCGGCAGCCAGGGCTAACATTAGCCCGTCTGCAGCAGGCAGGGCTAACATTAGCCCGTCTGCAGCAGCTGCCAGGGCTAACATTAGCCCGTCTGCAGCAGCAGCCAGGTCTAACTTTAGCCATCTGCGGCAGCCAGGGCTAACATTAGCCCGTCTGCAGCAGCTGCCAGGGCTAACGTTAGCCTGTCTGCAGCAGGCAGGGCTAACATTAGCCCGTCTGCAGCAGCTGCCAGGGCTAACTTTAGCCGTCTGCAGCAGGCAGGGCTAACATTAGCCCGTCTGCATCAGCAGCCAGGGCTAACTTTAGCCGTCTGCGGAAGCCAGGGCTAACGTTAGACCGTCTTTTATTGATCTGTGTGTAATGCATAATTCATAGTAGATCAGGAAGTGTTTGCTTTTGGATGGAAAGTATGTCTAAAACCATTCCTTTATTTAACATTTTGTTAGCTTGTCTGTCTGTTGTGCCATTTGCTATGATCATGGTTTTTGGACCAGTGTCCGTATTTCATTTTGACATGATGACCAGAGAAGAAGATAAAAGTTTGGTGTGACCAACCGCCCCCCTCTGTGTGAGGACAGAATAAACCATCGAAAACACAGGATTCTCTCTTTTCCCTTCTTTCTTTCCCATGAAGCTACCTGGGTGCGAGCCAAGGAGGCAGCAAAAATGGAAATCCAGGCCCAAAAAGACCCACATCTCCAGGATGATGAAGGATAAGTCATCATGGTGACCATTCAGAAACAGACTGCTGCAAAAAAGGACCTTTTGCAACACATTTCGCTTGAGTTTCAGAACTAACAGAGCCAGACTGGAGGAGAAGACCGCCCTGCTGGGAGCCTGAGACAAAGCCGCCGCTGCCTTGCTATAACCTGACTGCAAAGCTGCTGCTGGATGAAACTCAACCTTTCCAAATGAACATTGAAAACAAAAAGGTTTGCAGGTCTGGCACAATTAGGGACAGAACAAACATTATGCCTTTTAGTGATATTGATCATTTCACTCATCATTACTGATGAGTAAAGTCAAGCTAACAGGATGGACTGCATGCTACGCTATGCTACAGTAATATGTGTTGAGCTGTTGCTAAAGCTTAGACAAGCTTTATTCACTAAGGGTTAAACACTGATATAACATTAGTATTCATGTGTTCCTCAGATGCTCATTACATTTCCATTACCAAGTCTGACCAAGAGTCATTTAGTGGAATCCTGATGTCTATTTGCTGCTAGCTATTTCAAAGATGGTAAAGAATCATTAACTAAAGGTTATTGGTTCTTGATTAAGCAAATCATTTAATAAAACATTATTTGGCCAAATAATCAGAAATATAAATTTCCAGCTGGCTGGGAATAGAATAGAATATAAATCCACAACATTAATATGGCATTAATATGGATGGGCATTGAACATAAAATCACAACATTGCTATATTAACCAACATGATGTGTTGAACTAGATATGCTATCTTCACAAATTTTCTGAGACACTTTTTTATAAACTAGGGCATTAATTCATAAAAATGTTTATTTTAATTCTATAAAATAAAGTTTTCTGTCCAACAGCAATAATGAACTGCACGGCAGCATTCTATACCTATAGCTATTGTAGCATCTAGGATAGAGCTGTCAGTCTGGGAAAGAATCTGTTGTTATTCCAAATTATAAAGGTTAGCTTTTTTTTTGCAACATAGAACTAGACTAAAACCTTTTTAAGGGTTAGTTGACTCAAACCAACTAAAACCTTCACATATCATAATGACTAAAATGCAACTAAAACTAATAATAGTTAAGCTTAAACTAAATCTAAGATGCCTGCCAGAAATAATCCTGTTGTTGCTGATTAACATGTTGTGTTAAACCAGAGAGAATCTTATCAATAGTTAACCCCCGGTAGCTGAAACTAAAGATAAATTATTAGCAATGATGAGAATCTTTTTCACATTCATTAGGGTGATGACTTTTTTAACAACCTCATATCCCTGTATTGTAATTTGATGAACCTTTATTAAAGTTTACATAAAATCTTACTTTTAAGATTATTTTTAATGATAGAAAAACCTCATGCACAAAATGATATAAACATTTTTATAATTATCAGCTTTTTTGGCAAGTTCAATGGAAGATTAGTAAAAATTTAACCCAATTTTAAGAGTCACGTGTATAACATTAAAAGGGTTAGAAAACACTAAAGTCAGTTGGCAATGCTGATGTCATTGGATGAATCTCAGTGGGAGGTCGTCTTTGTTTCGGCAGGACTCATTTAAATATTGCATAACTTTGATCCGCCCTCTTACCGTATCGATGCTGTCCGTCATAAAGTTCCAGACCACAGTACCATCGGTCAGGTCTTCATTGTAGGAGGCCTGTAGCGTCACCAGCTTCCCTTTGACCACCTCCATGTTCTGAGTCTGAGCCCATGTGCCTGAAGGGAGGAAACAAAGGAGGATGATGAGGAAGACTTCCTGTTTTTGTCTTGTGTCTGGAAGCGGCTCTGAACCTATAGCTCTACAAAAAGAAAACAGAGGCAATCATCCCCATGCTTTGTTTTTAACTTAAATAGAAATTGAGAGTTCAATTCAATTCTATTCAGTTCACATGCCATCTCAAGGCACTTTCCAGTTCACCAGATCATCCAGTCAGATTGATCCAAAGTTTCAATCTAAGGAAAACCAGTTGATTGCATCGACTCATTGACTCTTCAGCAATCCCTCACACTAAGCATGCTTGTAGTGACAGTGGAGAGGAAAAACTCCCTTTGAACAGGAAGAAACCTCCAGCAGAACCAGGCTCAGTGTGAGCGGCCATCTGCTGAGGCCCACTGGGGTTCAAGGAGACAGAAGCAGACATAGAAAAAGAAGCATAGATACAAAAAGCAGCTGTAAAAGGTGGCCCCGTCCAGGAAAGACACAGCCAGGCAGACGAGCTCCGAGCCAGCTCCCATGTCAGAGGATGGAGAGAGCACATCCAGTTAGTCACAGTCAGAGAAACAGGACTACACTGGAAAACAGGCCAAGCTCCAACATCTAGAAACAAAGGTGTTGATGGCAGCAGCACAGCTGATATTTCTCTCCAGGATGGAGTCACAGCCAAACAGGAACAGACCAGATGAAGCTACTATGAGAAAAAGCAGAGAGAGCAGAACGTTAGAGATTGAACTAACAGATTCTGCAGAGTGGGAGAATAGAGATAGAATGAAGCAGAATGATGAAAAAGGACATCGCTAAAAAAGGCTGCTGCTGATCAGCAGGAGAACCAGATATTTAGACGCTCTGCGTAAAAACAGACTTTTTATTTTTAAATTCTGGCAGAAAGACCGCAGAGGGACATGAACCGGTGCTGCACCCACCTGTGGAACCGTTCATTCTGTAAATAACAAAATAATGAGGGATTTTCTCTAGATTTTTATGTAAATTAATGTTTCAGGAGGAGATCTGATTCCTGATTTATTTCTCAATAATTCAGCTTCTCCCAGTAATCCCAGCCTGATCTAAAGCCGACCATTCAGCCGGTCAGAGGTCACTGACAGGCTGAACTGTAGCGAAGAGCAACAACCAGATGAGGGCAGCAGAGAGCTAAGGCCCAAAGCACAGTTCTCCTTCCGTCTAACAGAGTCGGCCTCCTATGTGGCTCTAGAAGGAAAAGAAGTGTCTGTTTGTCCCAAACAGAGACAGCGGCTGACTTCATCATCTGTTTACTGTAATCAGAGGATTCCTCCAAACTTTGGCCTCTTTCATGTCGCTGCTCCCTCTTGCAGCCACGGCAGAGAGCAGAGCAAACAAGATCAGCATCAACACACAATGGATCCTTTCTTCTTCCCTCCCATTCTCTCCACCTTACCCTCCTCAAACCAAACTAGCAGGTTCTTCTGACAGCGCCGGGTCCCTGGAGGTCATCCTTTCTGCCCCCTGCATGAATAAACCCAACGGCAGCAAATCAGAACCTGAGCTGTTCTGGAGCTCCAGGCGTCTCTGCACATAGGGAGACATAGAAACTGAAAGGATGCATCCCCCGCTTTGACCTGGTGCAGGTTCCAACATGGGAGTGGTCGGAAATAAAACCCAGAAGACTCAAAAATATCCAACAGAACCTCTTAATCCACATCAAACTGGGACACTTAATAACTGTGACCTACTGCAGCCGTTTTTTTTGTGCAGAAACAGGCGACTTACATGAGATCCAAACCCAACAGAAACAAAACTCCACTTAAGTCCAACCTGCACTGCAAAAACCATCAAGAAATAAGTAAAAATGTCCCCTTAATTTGAGCTGGTAAATCTGACGAGGTTTTATACACTTAAAATAAGATAATTAGATATTATGTAGGGTGACCAAACGTCCGTATTATGTTCATATTTCACGTCCTGTCCTGGGCGTCCCGGGTTTTTTTTAGAAAGTGAGGAAATGTCCTGTTTTTCTAAATTACCTTCATTGGACCATTAAATTTACAGATGCTAGGGCACTGTGCACGACGCTGCGTGTGACGTTACCCCTGAGCCGCGCCAGTGCGGGCAGCCTTGTTCTTAATCAGAATATAGATAGCGTGGCTGTCAGTACGCCAATAAAAACATGCAAAGGCACAAATGTATGTTTACCAACGATTTACAAAAGAGTTTCCCCGCTTTCAGACCGGATCGAGACAAATGGGAGGCCTTGTGCACAGTGTGCAAAGCAGGCACATATGTCTCGGTGTCCAATGGAGGTGCAAGGGATCTGAAAAGCCACCTGGACTCCGAAAGTCAAGATATTCTATTGATATGTTTTTTCGTTTTTGGTACATTTTGAGTTACTTTTGCTACAAAAGAGGTATTTTTTGTTAATTAGCTCATTTGTTTATTTTTTCAAATAACCTAAAGAACAGACATTATTTCGTTCATTGCTGAGGCTGAGTATCATCATATTGGGTTATTGTTAACTTTTATTGTTAAGTGAGGGATGTTTAGATTAGACATTATTTCTTTCATTGTGCTATTCATTCATTACAGGAATTGTTAAGCATTTTTAATGAATACATTTTGAATAAAATTATCGTTTGTTATTGGAGTTATTGCTGTTGACTTTTACTGAAAAGCATTTTTAATAAATCAACTGTTAATATCATGTTATTGTAGGATTACCTAGGCCTATGGATGGGAAGAGATCCCCCGCCGCCGCCCCCCCGCTCCAAGGTGTCCTGGTTTTTCAAAATGAAAATATGGTCACCCTATATTATGACCCTATAATAAGACAATGCAGGCGTTTTTTTTTATTCTAAATGTAAATTCACATGGATTCAAATCTGAGGCCAGAGCCAACAGGAACTGTGCAGTCAGAGTAAATTAAGTCACGCTATTTTATTTTAAGTATATTTTTTCTTGAAATGAGGAAGAACGTGAGACAATTTACCAACAAGTTAGTTATAGTTAGAGTCTCTATAGTTCTGCTGCTATAGGCTTAGACTGCTGGAGGACATAGGGACCCCTTTTTCATCATTCTGCTTCATTCTATCTCTATTCTCCCACTCTGCAGAATCTGTTAGTTCAATCTCTAACGTTCTGCTCTCTCTGCTTTTTCTCATAGTAGCTTCATCTGGTCTGTTCCTGTTTGGCTGTGACTCCATCCTGGAGAGAAATATCAGCTGTGCTGCTGCCATCAACACCTTTGTTTCTAGATGTTGGAGCTTGGCCTGTTTTCCAGTGTAGTCCTGTTTCTCTGACTGTGACTAACTGGATGTGCTCTCTTCATCCTCTGACATGGGAGCTGGCTCGGAGCTCGTCTGCCTGGCTGTGTGTTTCCTGGACGGGGCCGCCTGTGGAGCTGGTTGACAGTTGACTTTTGTATCTATGCTTCTTTTTCTATGTCTGCTTCTGTCTCCTTGAACCCCAGTGGGCCTCAGCAGATGGCCGCTCACACTGAGCCTGGTTCTGCTGGAGGTTTCTTCCTGTTCAAAGGGAGTTTTTCCTCTCCACTGTCGCTACAAGCATGCTTAGTGTGAGGGATTGCTGAAGAGTCAATGAGTCGATGCAATCAGCTGGTTTTCCTTAGATAGAAAACTGAATCAATCTGACTGGATGATCTGGTGAACTGGAAAGTGACCTGAGATGACATGATGTGAATTGAAGCTATAGAAATAAACTGAATTGAATTAAGTTAATTATCATATTTTAAGAGTAAAAAATACTCATTCCATCTTATTTACCTAATCAAATTAAGGCTAAATGCAGTTATTTTAAGACTTTTTGACTCATTTGATGGTTGTTTTTGCAGTGTGGAAAGGTTTTCCTTTTCAGCTTCTGGCAGTAAAGCAGAAAACTGGACTAAATGTGGCTCAGAGCAGATCTTGGTTTGTAGGAAACTGTTTTTGTTTTTAATCTCAGGTGGTAATATTTGGCTTCCTGGCTTTGACTTTAACTGTACAGTTGAAATTGGAGCTACGGGAGACCCACTGCATCAAGGTCTGAGCTGGATGGTATCAGTTTCTCTGTCGCCAAGGCAACAGCGGGAAAACAAGTGACAGAGGCGATGAAAGAAAGTGTGTAGGCCTCTTTTCCTCGGGAGCATAACTTCAATGAGGTCTAATTAAGCCACCAAAGACTACATAAAAGAGGAAGTCCACTTTTAGAGAAACATCAAAGGTTCTGGAGAAGGTGGGAGGAGAAACCGAGGAACAGCAAGCAGGGAGGAATCCTTCAGTCCTGAAATTTTCAGGCTCTAAGAAGATGTTCAGAAGTGAGAAAAGATCCCTAACCTACAGGGACTGATGGCGATCCAATGAGATGGAACCACTGCTAGATGCTTCGGTCTGCTTAGCTCCTGCAGAGAGACGCTCACTCAGGGACACATGCCAGAGGATGTGGGCGGAGCTGCACTGCAAACACCAGCTAGAAATAAACTTTTCTTAAATTAAGTTTATTCACCATTAATTTGAGCAGAATAATGAGATGATTTCAATGGAGTCATTATTTTCTCTTAAAACAAGATAATCAGATAAATAGGAGACTGCAGGTTTTTATTTTTATTTTAAATATATATTGTCTTGTTCCATTGGCAAAGTGTCTCATTTACCTCCTCATTTCAAGAATAAATGCAATTAATTTAAGCAAAATTATTAGTTTTTCATTTTTTTGCAGTGTGATGGACCAGGTCTGCTGCTCTGCCGCTCATCTTCTGAACCATTCTGACCCGTTGGTCCCAGATTTAGAACTAAACACATAAAAATCAGCATTTATTCCTCAGCTGCCTTAAAGCAAAGCTTAAATGCACCAGGAAGCGTTATCACAGATCCTTCCTCCCAGCAGCTGGAAGACTCTAGAACCACCACTGTTCCCAACAACCTCAATCAGTTCTTCCATTCATGCTGATTTTATAGTCTCTACCTCAGTCAGTTAAATAACCTGCTGCTGGTGAACATTCAGCACATCTCTGTTGATGCTGCTATTTTTCACT